GATGTGCTGAGCATGTGAAAGTTCCTCTGATGTCAAGGGGGTGGTTGCTCCGCACTTCTGCAGTTCAGGTCTACTTAACACGCAGATAGGAACTGAGTCACCTCCACTCAAGGGACACCTTCGAAAACCAGCTCTACATACCTAGAGTCTGTTCAGTGGAAAAACTGTTCATCTGAACAGTCCCCGCTATCTAGGGACAGGTGGCCTGGCCTTTCTGTCCCATCAGAGCTGCATGCACAGGAAGACAGGCAGCAATCCCTATCTTTGGGAATTTTATGTCAGCTTCCTACATGTAAGCTCACAGGCCCCTCAGGCTTTCCTCCTTGAGTCCAACTGGAAATGTGTATGGGAACGTCCCATGGGAATGGAAATGTCTACAAGCCATTCCTTTCCTCCCAGGGAAATGGGTGCGGTTATTGTAATGGGTGCGCAGGTTTATTAAGGTAGTTGGATAAGAAAAGGTGCAATGGAAGTCTATGATAGAGGATTATATATATACCTAAATATATATAGATATAGATACATTTTAATAATATAAAAAAATTATGTGATAACAGAAGAGCTCAGCCACCTCCTCCCAAGGAAGATAGTGCTCGGTTTTTAAGACCTAGCCTGCCAGATCAGGTGGGAGGCAAAGAAACACTGAGCATTTTAAGAATTTATTTAGCCCAACTCCTGGTTTTACCACAAACAGGTGAATTCACAGCCCTGAGCCAGCTCACACAGGGCTGAACATTCAACCACTTGGGGTTCAGCACTCAAAATGGGAGTCTTCGCCTTAGTGACACCTATAATGGAGGGCAGGAGACAAGGAGGAAACAATCCAGAGGAAGGGGGTGCCATCTTTCTTGCTGCATGTAGGATATCCCTTAACAATCACAAATCAGCAGAGCAAGCCAGGATCCATGGTTGGAGGGCAGCTCCTGTTCCTAACGTGATCCCAGTTTGCAGCAGCCAGTCACTCAAAGCAGCACAACTGATTAACTCAGGCCATTCTGTTGGGTGCTTCAGCCAAAGACCGAAAGGGGTTATTGAGACTGAACATCTCTCTTGGGCCCAGGCTCATTGGGCTCATTGGCAAGGCACCTGGCTGCTGGCTGGGGCAGAGCCGAACAGAAGGGAGGAGAATCCCTCTAAAACAACTAAAAGGTAACCCAGGCCTTAGATCCAAACCCTCCCAGGGTCACAAGGCTGTTTGCATCTGTCCCAGGCCTTCCTTCAGTCAGCAAAGAGCCAGGGAGTGAGCACTATGGAGTTTATGGTAGGTCCAGTGCCTTTGGTTCCGCGTCCCATAACAGAATAAAAGGGCCAGTAGAAGCTGGTGCTGGGGCACTCTGCCCTGGGGATGCTCACAAGGGCTGAAGGCACAACTGTTTGGCACCACTATACAGAGAGGTGTTTTTCAGTTTGCTGGTTTAACTGAAAAATAAGTATAAAATGTGGGTCTGTGTTGATCAAAATGAGAACTTGTTAGGTTTCTCATCGCGGTGAGAAAGCAAGGCAGAACAGTTTCACTTCAGGTCAACTGCAGTCTTTTGTTCCACTCGAAATGAGAAGGTTTGTTTCAGTTTGGGGGGTACTTGAACCCTGGTTAAAAAGAAGAGTCTCCCGGACCTTTGAAATGAAACCGTGCCTTCAAAACACAACATCCACGTGTTTTGCTTTGAGCATGTTGAAATTAAAGGTTTGGGCTTTTCCTTTTTTTTTTTTCTTTTCATTTGTCTTTTTTTGCAGTCCTAACTCCTGGCTGATTTTGTTCCCAATTCCCAGATCATTTTGATTCCCTCAAAATGCCTTTCCCACCCACCCCCGGTGACTGAACCATTAGCTTAAAAAAATATAACAAAGCAAAGCAAAACAAAACCCGCCCACCTCTAAAATTTAGGGGAATTTCTGGTTTTTTCTCAGTGCGTCTCATATAGGTATGAGGCCAGATTCTGTTCTCAGTGATGCAAATGTATAAACCACAAGTGACTGAGGGTATAACTCTCTGGTCTAAAATGGGCATGAGGGGAAGAAGCAGCCGGCACATGGAGATTCCAGCGAAGTGTGTACAGTCATGTTGGACTCAGGCCAGCGTTGCTGAAAGCCACATCTGGGCAGGGTTTGTATTTAGAAAGACACTGTGTTGACAAGGTACCATCTGGGAACTGTGACCATGTGTGTGAGTGAGCAGGGGCCTGTTTATGTGGACTTCGTTCTTGGTATTATTTATCATCTGATTTAAGGTAGCACCACGCTCAGAGCCCCATTGAGCTAGATCAAGTGTGAGGCACATGGTGCTAGGGGCTGTACAAACAGAGCAAAAGAGTGCTCCTTGGCTCAAACCAGTGCTCCCTGGTTACTGTTCAGCATAAAGTGAGAGGGATGCCGGGCTCTGTTCCTTCCTCCAGATGCACCATCCTCCCTCACAAGGTGCTTACAGAAAGTAAAGCTATCTAAATTCCTAGATGTCATCTGACACATACCAATATGTTATTATAGAGCCTCTTGTTGGAAGCAATCTACTGTAACGTTACTCATTACTGCATTGTTTCCCACATCCTCTTTTCAAAGCCTGAAGAAGCCATCTCCTATGCTGGTATACAGATCCAGTCAGTACTCTTTATGATATACCATGCTTTATAGGTTGGCAGTGCCACAAAGTGGCCATCTTTTTTATGATATCAGCCCCCACAAACCTCCTTGAGGTGGAGAGTGTCTTTGTAAAACAACGACTCTGGGCAAGTCTTTGGTTCCTCATCTATAAAATAGGCATAATGATAGCCTTGCTTTCTCCCATGCTTTTTCTATCTCATTTGTTTGTGAGCTCTTTGGGGTAGGGATTATCTGCTGTTATTTTTATATATGTAGAGCACCTGACACAATGGAGTCCCATTTGGTGGCATTCCTGTAAATGCAAACAGGAATAAACAAAAATAATAAAAATAATATCTACCCAACAGACAAAAACATACACACACATGCAAGCATTTGGTCCAGACTGGGGCTATTTGGTGCTATCAGGCAATTAATTAATTCATGCATTAATTAATTCGCTAATAGATTGCCATTCATTTGAGTCCCTTTGGGGAGGAATCCTCGTACACAACCTAGGCTAGTCCCTACATTTTGTTTGTTGATAAAATAAAAGTGTCTGTGAGAGGAACCAAGAATTGATCGTGTCAGGTTTTCAATAGCAAGCACTTGTTTTTTTCAAAGCTACAATAAAAGCTGTGATCTTGTGGGCGTCACCTATTCCCCTTTGAATCTGCAACCTAAACATTGCAGCTGCCGGCTAAGAAACAGGAAGTGAAAATGGCAAGATAAGTGGAAGTGTCCAAGCTGCAGGAGATGCAAACACAACAGTGGTGCAAAGCAAATGGGATGTTTATAGTGTTCTTGATTTTAAGTGATCTTGGGCTCTGCTAATGGTTACATTTATGAGGAAGGGCTGGGGAACTGGGCTTATTTAATCTAATGAAGAGGAGACTGAGAGGGGATTTAACAGCAGCCTTCAACTACTTGAAGGGGGGTTCAAAATAGGGTTGCCAACCCTCCAGGATTGCCCTGGAGTCTGCAGGAAATGGAAAGAAATCTCCAGGAGATTGCTTAGAGGTACACAAAAGATAAATGAGAAGGCATTCATTACAAATAAATATTAAATGTTGAATCTGACTTGCACAGTAGTCCAGTAGTTTTTTAAAATGTAATAGTAATGTGTGTTGGCCTTCCTCATGTCAAGTCTGCACACCATAATCCATAACTGATATGCACTAGCACGTGGGCACATTTGTGTTGTGTGCCACGGGCACGTTGGTGTTCCAGAAACCTCCTGGGATAGATTTAAACAGAGTCAACAACACTGGTTCGAAAGAGGATGGAGCTGGACTGTTCTCAGTGCTGGCAGATGATGGTACAAGGAACGACGGGCTCAAGTTGCAGCAAGGGAAGTTTAGGTTAGGTATTAGGAAGAATTTTCTCATGAGGAGGGCAGTAAAGCACTGGAATAGGTTACCTAGAGAGATGGTGGCAGCTCCATCTTTGGAGGTTTTTAAGAGCCGGCTGGACAGAGCCCTGGCTGTGATGATTTAGTTGGGGCTGGTCCTGCTTTGAGCAGGGGGTTGGACTGGATGTGACCTCCTGAGGTCCCTTCAACCCTTATTTTCTATGAGTCTATGATTTCTTCTGTGCTAGGCACTGTCCAAGGGAAGTTCTAGCACCGTCAGCCCCAAGCATTAAAAAACATGCATCAGTTTCCAATACACAAAACATCAACAATCAGGAGATTTTTATTTAAATAATAAATGGGGGGGCTCTTTTCCTTTGCTTTCTTATTCCAGAGCCTTTTCAGGCTTTTCTTGACAAAAATGAGGACTAGAAGCCGCACATGGCTTACACAGCTGAGAGTCTCACCAAATCACATGTCTCCAGGTGCTGAGGTTTTCAGAACAGCACCCAATGTCATGAGGATAGCGATAAAATAATGAAAGTTGACAATAGCGATGTCCCTACCACTGAGGGATTTTCAGTGAAAGCCTCAGGTTTGGTAGCATTGAACCTGTTTAAGAGTTAGCGGACAGCTGCTTGAAATCTTTAGGGAACAGAGACTCTGTTAAGTGAAAAGGTGAAATAGAATCCAACCCCATCGCAAGCCCGGGGTCTGGGGTTGCCCATAAGTGTTTCCCTTTCAGATGGGATCAGAAATGGGAGCACTTCACAGGGATTTCACTTACTAGAACAGGGCTGGGAGATGCCAGTGGTATCCTGTCACTAGAGGAAAAGCTTGTCTCTGGTCCTTGTCTGAGGTGCTGGCCTTTAGCAAGGCAAAGCAACCCCATTTTCTGGTTCGCCAGTTGGTTTCTGGCCTAGTCAGGATGAGACGCCTCTGTTTGACCACAGATGATTGTAACTGTGTTGGATTGTCCCACGTGTGAGTGCTGTCAGAGAAGGAGATTGGGCTAAACGGACCATGGATCTGACCCAGGGGGGAAGTTCCTAAGTTCTGTTTTTTTTCTTAGGGTCCTGGCTAAGCAGAGCATTGGACGACTAACTTGTTCATCCAGACAGTGAGAGGATCCCCTGTGCTATCTCCATCAGCACTTCAGCAGCTGCGTATACAGCACCCTATCCAGCCGGTGCTAGAGCACTGCAGAGGGACCCCTTTATCAGGAGGTCACACCATTTCCTGCTGGAAAAGGAGGTAAGTTAGCATTAGTGTGATCTCTGGCAAACCTGTGAGGGTGGGGGGGAAATACTACCACTTTTTGGGAATGAAGGATGGAGACAAAATACAAAGGGCTGTAACTGATGTTCTCTCTATAGCCCCAGCAAAGGGGCTGATGGCTCCCTGGCCATCCCTGTCATCCTCATCCACCCTCAGGGCCCAGCTCCTTTGTCTCCATCTCAAAAGTTCCTCTCCAGGGTTGGAATGCTTGAAGCATATGGTTGCAAACTCCATCCGAGCAGAACTCAAGCTGATGGCGAGTAAAGGGTCAGGATTTGGCCAGCTGATTTCAGCAGGAGCTGATTGCATTTTAAGTTCAAGTTTTCCAGAAAGGACCTGCAATCAGGGCTGGATTTTCAAAGCTCCGCTCTTATTTTGGAAGGTTGAGGGCTGAGCTCTGCCTACCGTGTCACAAGGACACTGAGCTAATTTGAAACTCCAGTGCTGATGCTGGTGGCTGGGCTCCTGGATGTCAGGTCCTCGGTGAAGTTTTGGATCACAGAGTACCATGAGAGGTGCAGTGCTCAGGCCTCCTAGGGTTTGCCCCGCCTATGTCTGTAATACTTTAAAACATGGTATGTGAGTGTATCGTTCTCCCAAGATGCCTGATCATCAGCCTGAAGCCCAAGTCCCAAGTCAAGTGATTACATCACAGCAAATAAAAGATCCAGTCTCTATCAGAGCAGAAAACTGATGCAACAGACACTTATGGTGACTGTTCATGCAAATGATCCCAGCACTTTTCCTCCGTAGATGTCCACAAAGAGTTTTACAAAGGGAGTCACAATCAGGACCTCATTTTGTATGGGCTGGGCAGTCAAATAATGTATTCAAGGCCAGCCAGGAGACCAGTGGCAGAGCTGAGAGTAGAAGCCAATGCCTCCCCTTAGTGCACGCTGAGAGGGTCACCAGCTCTGCTATGGACACGGCTTCTTTGTAGTATTCATTATTTATGTAGAGTCACACAGTAAAGGCTCCTCTCCAGGTTCTCAAACAGTGATTATGCAGTGATACAATTCCCTTCAGTCCTAACCCAGTGCCCAAGGAATTCAGCTACGTATCCCACGAGCCAGCCAGCCGTTGCCTGTCCAGGGACCTCTTCACTGCACTCTGAAGTTAGGGAATGCGGGCTTCATTGGAAAGGCTAATGAAGGACATAGCCAAGTTACAGTGAAATGAGAAAAACCTCTTTCTCGTACACATTTACACACCCTCTCTCTTACTTCTCCCGCTTTGTTCCCCTGTAAAGAGCTTTGATGATACTCTAAAACTAAGGGTGCAGTTAATTGTTGTCACAGTCCTTTGGTAGCCTCCTGTTAACATTTCTCACCCTGAGAATGCTTGTGCCTAATCTTTCTCTTGTCCAGTGCAGGCTTCCGCTCACTGGAGTTCATTCCTAATACAAGCCCCGACGCCTTCTCTCCCAGCCTGCCTTCTCACTCCGAGCTGTTCAGTCAGTTTGCTTTGCTTGCAAAGGTGCGTACGGAGAAGACAGACACCATGAACCTCTTGTGCCCTGGTGGGTTCTGTGGCATAACCCCCAGAACAGGCACCTCTCTAGCTGCCATCTACATGATCCTAATGACAAACATGTACCTGATCTTTGAGACTGGCCACCTAGCGCGAGCTAGAAGTGAAATGGAAAAAAGTGTGGTCGTAGTAGGCCGGGCGCTGATGATTCCATATTTCTACTACATAGCTATTGCCCTGGCCATCATAACTTATCCAGTGTGCATCCTCCTTATCTACTCAGTTACCAAGCGGCTTCACAGAGGGATGTTCATCTACGTGGGCTGGATCATCTTTTATGACCTGGTCAACTGCATTCTTGTGCCTCTCACACACAAGACCGTGAAGGAGCTTCTGTTCTCTGTAAGCCATTTGGAGTGGTTTGGGCTGGCAATGAGACTCCTCATGGATTGCTTCTGGCTCTCCTTTGTTGTCACGTATGCCCTGATCATTATGGACAGCAAGATGCAGCGCCGGATGTCGTTTAGGGGCCGACGTGTCTCTAGAAGTGTGGCAGAACCACCCAGGTTTAGGTTGAGCAATGAGATCCGGAAGCATCCATAAACTGGAGTCTGAGATTAGGTTCCATCGGCAAGAGCCTGGAGACATCAGGCCATTTTGGAGGTTTTTTCCCCCATTGTTCAATGTGATGTATGTCTTGTTCTGGCTTCCAATTTGAGTCCCAAAATAAATAGAAAATCTTTTCTGTTGGTGTAAATGGTGTTTTCTAGGCTTTCATTTTGCATTGGGCACCCATCCCATTGGAAACCAAGAGTCCTTTTGTCCTATTCTCAGATCTCCCACAGACTCCCCTTCAGCAAGCCATGTCATTGCTCTGTGCCTTGGTTTTCCCATCTCTAAAATGGGGGTGATAATATTGACATACACAATATTTATGCAGGTCTTGGGGACTGGCTGATGAAAAGCCTGGTTTCAATAGCTAGTTTGCTGCAAAATCTCGCAGCACCATCATAATGATACATCTGTAAGTACTACGAGACAGATAGATGAAAGGCCTGGTATAAATGCAAAGTATTGACATTGTTAGGTTTTCTGACTTGGAGGCTAAAGTGGTATGAAAACAGATCCCTTCACAGCACTTGTACCCACCTTGGGATCAAAATACACCAAGGAAAACTAGCTTTTGTGTTATTTCCACTCCATATATGACACCTTGATGGTACTGAAAAAACCCTTAGAAACCCAAACACTAATCCTTAGGATTTACCACCTGCTCTGGGGAGGGTGTGAGAGCACTTTGATGCATCATCACCAGCCATCTGGGCACTGAGTCCAGTTCAGTTATTCCATCCGTCCTGACGTGGGATCGCATACCAGCCTCCTGAGAGAGCTGGTTCTCCCAGCTGCTCACCATGAGATGCAAGGAACCCAATGACCCACTTGCTGAGGAGCATTTTGCTGGCTCAACTTTGTGTAGATGGGTTAACCTTTTTCCCGGGGAGAAATGAAGGGCTCCATGGCTCATTAGAAGAGAAAAAAAGGAAGAATGAGAAAACCAGGAAGCGGAAAGACAGAATAAGAAGCAGGTAAATAGTCAAGGAAACAACTAACCACAGTGCACATTTCTAGCAGCTAGAAGCTCAGAAAATAAAAATACTTGCTGCTCTTTTTTTTTTTTTTTTGTGGCTGGGGGAGCCAGGAAATGGTAGAGGTAAAATAAGGTTGCGTTTCCTGCAAAGGAGGTGATGTGCAGTGTTGGCATGAAACCCTGAAAGGCTTCTGGGAAAGGCAAGCTGTACTCCAGAGACACGAAACCTGTGGCCAGTGGCTTGGCAGTGTCCATGATGATGGCAGATGGGCTGAGCCTAGCAAGCTGGTGCTGACAGATATAAATTACAGCTGTGGGCACTGGTTTGGCCCACCCCATGCCTGGGATTCCCCCTCAAGAGGGGATTGGCAGCATTACCTCTGCCTTTTAAGATTTCCACTAAGGGATAGGTGGGGGCAGCTGTATGATGGATGAGGGGATATACCTGAGCAGATGACCCCTCCGCCAGCACAGTCAGGGCAGTGCTAATCACCTGTGCCCACCCTCAGACTGAAGAGACATTGGGACTATTTTCTCCAACTACAATGGCAGCCCCGTAGACTTTCTGATGTATGTTGTCCACCACACGCCCCAGCATCCAGGTGGGCTAAATCTTGGCAGCAGTTGCCATGCAAAAATCAACAAATACAGTCCCAGAGTACTGACTTGACTGCAGCATTGCCCATATACAGGGCACAGGCCCCTGCGAAGGGGTTTTCATGGCTACCTAGAAAACCGTACATATATTCACAGTAGGGAAGAGCTGGGAGCTGGAGCTCTGTAGAACATAAGAGTAAGCTCAGCCTACAGATCCACTGTACCTTGATTAACGCCCTTCCTGAGGGAACATGGCATCCTTTAGTGCTTATCAGCAGTACATGTACTGCGCTGTGGGCAGCCCCACTGGGCACCTGAGCAAGTACTTTGGAGCAGAGGAGGAAAAGCTGTTTTAGGCCCCCAAAAGGATGTGGACAAGTTGGAGAGAGTCCAGCGGAGGACAGTGAAAATGGTTGGGGGTCTGGGGCACACGATGTCTGAGGAAAGGCTGAAGGAACTGGGCTTATTTAGTTTGGAGACGGGAAGACCGAGAGGGGATTTGATAGGAGCCTTTAAGTACCTAAAGTGGGGGGTCGAAAGAGGATGGAGCTGGACTGTTCTCAGTGGTGGCAGATGACAGAACAAGCAGCAATGGGCTCAAGTTGCATCAGGGAAGTTTAGGTTGATATTAGGAAAAAAACTCTCTCAATAGGAGGGTAGTAAAACACTGGGACAGGCTACCCAGAGAAGTGGTAGGATCTCCATTCTTGGGGGTTTTTAAGACTCAACTAGACAAAGCCTTGGCTGGGATGCTCTAGCTGGGGATGGTCCTGCTTGGAGCAAGGGGTTAGACTAGATGTGACCTCCTGAGGTCCCTTCCAATCCTCATCTTCTATGACTCTATATAGAGACCCAATTCCAGAGACCCTGTCCCAGGATATGCTGGGATAAGACTTTGGGAGGTTTGCCTGGCTCTCCATGCAAGGCTGACATGCTTAGCAGAGCTCAGCCTATGGACCTGCTGAACATGTCTGTGCCTTGGCTGAAAGGACTCTGTGCTGATCAGGGGCATGTCTGCCTCAAGCTGATCGTGGGGCGTATTCCCATCCTTGGCCTTTAGTTCAGGAAAATACCTGTTAAAGCCCCATTGAGTAGGTCTGCTGAGCAAAACAAAGATGTGGGTATAGCACGATCTGGCCTCTTGTTAGTTGTATTCCAGCTAGCTCGGGCATCAATAGCAGTGAAGACAGTGAATCAGACTACAAGGCCTTCATGGGGCTGGGGTACATCTCCTGGTTGCTAGGCTGTGTTCCTGTCTCTTTGCAGCTATGGGTGCCCAAACTGGATGGATTAACACTAATTCAAGGATGCTACTGTCCCCCACTCTGCTCTGATGCATAAGTGCACGTGCACAGTGTCTGTGTGTACATGTGGACACTTGTCTGAAGCTAAGCCATAACTTGATCGCACTCCTGCAGTCAGCAGGAGTTATGCTGATCCGAGCAAGGACACAACTGGACTCCATGCTCTCCTTGGTATTCTGTGAAATGCGACTATTGTGTCTCCATGACCCAACTGCCCCTTTTCCCCATAGTGATCTAGCCCAGCAGGCTTCTAGGCCAATAAGCTACTGCAGGAAGCTAAAAGTGACTATCAGCCCATCAGGCCCTGTGCTCTGGTCTGACTTGTCCTTTTGTGGTGAGGTTTCTAAGAAGTGGAGCAGTAGTTGAGTGTTTACTGGAAGGGTGGGCCCCAGTCAGCCTGAAAGTACGGGGCAGCGTGCTGTGATATTGCAGCCAAACACAGCTCCCTTTCAGCAGCTGTGAAAGAATATGTCAATGCAAGGGGTCATAGCCTTTCTTCTCAAAGCTACAAAGGGGGTTTCGGTTTAGCACAAAGAGGTTTACAGACCATCCGGTGAGAAGACACAGCCAAGAGAGAGAAAGAAAACTAACCACATATCAAAATAACCCCAAGCCTTGAAAACATTTGGATCCAAATTTCTTCATTCAGTGCCGCTGCCGAGCAAGAAGGCAGAGATGTACCTGGAAAGTAACCTGGGTTAATAACCTCAGAGAGCTTTAGACACCCTTTAAAGAGGGTATTTCATAGATGAGGAAAGCGAGGCATGGATGAAGCTAGCTAGCTCAGGTCACACAGCATATAGCCAACAGAGCAGGAATAACACTCACCTGCCCTGCTGTCCAAGTCTCAGGGCAGTGCCAGTTCTTATGGGGTGGTAGGTACCTTGCTGGAGATGAATTCCTGAATTAAGGTTTGGGCTGGCAGTGAAGTGAGAAAGTAAAATGCTTTGGCACAGTGCTAGTTGGCAGGTTTTTAGAGATGTGCTGTGGAAAGCGCTCACGGCTCTGATCCTTTGCTCAAGATCAAATCTCAACAGCAAGATGTGCAGGGTGAAACTCAGGAAGGAAAAAAAACAGTAAAGTCATAAAAGCCTCTGGCCAGGAGGATAAGCAGCAAGGGGAAAGGGAAAGGGAAGAGGAAGAGAAAGGGGAACCCCCCGCACCCCCCAACACACACACAACCCACGCAGCAGAGCGAGCCATTTCTTAGTGCTCTGCACCTCCCCACACTCCCTCGAAAGCAGGCATCTAAGATTTCTAGAACTGAAAGACGGGGCGGATGGGCTGCACTGTTCATCAGGAAGCTAAAAAGAACCCTTGCAAGATGCATGGTTCATGGGATCAGATGAAAAGGAAAGGGACCTCACAAAGTTATCTAGTCCAGCCCCATGCTCAAGGCAGGATCATCCCTGACTCAACCACCCCAGCTGAGTACCTGTCTAATGACTCATCATTTTCCCTTGTTGGAGCTCACTCTCCATAACTCTGCCTTTGAAGTGTCTTCCAAGAGAGAAAGAGCTTTGCAAATAATGGACCAATTCCAGTAACACCCCTCCCAAGACAGCACTAGCACACAGGCAGGTGCATGGAAGTAGTGATGGTTCAGATGCTCTCAGGTTTCTGCCTGGTCCCCCATAGTCTTCTCAGACCTAGAAATACCTCACAGCCTTCCCTGAAACCCCTCAGCCCAGACACAGTACTTCCAGCAGATCTTGGACACTGATTATCAAGAGGAAGAGGTGATGGGGCAAGCAGCCATGCACGCAGCCTAAGGACCTACTAGTGTGTTTCACTGCAAATGGCAGCATGAGATGGGCAGAAGAGATCCCAGCCCCACAATAAACAAGGAAAGAAGGGTATTAAAATGAGGCCAAGATGCTAAAGAACCACACATTGGCTGGCAAAGAACCCATCTGGAGGGACAGGATCTCTGGTTGGGGCATGCACAAAGTTGCTGGTATGTCAGTGCTGAACAAAGCTATGATTCATGTCGAGGAACTTGCCTACCGCTGGTGCCGAGGGAAGCTTCCATTTAACAATGGAAGAATAAAAGAAAACCCCGTAGTATGGTCAAACTATAGCATGAAGGATGGAAGACAGTGGAGCTCTTCCAACACTAGAGAGCAAATGCCCCTGTACCTGTACTCCAATTAGTGTCTGAAGACGGTGTAGCCTTTTGGATTAGTCAGGTTTATGAGCCAACACTAATCAGCATTTTCCAAAATGAACACATGATGAGGT